AGGGGGGCAGCGAGGAAAAGGCGGGGACGTGGTGAGGAGGGCGAGGCGCCAGCAGAGCCCAGGGGGAGGTCCTGGATGGTTCTGCTGAGGTTACCCTCGCCAGGGACGGGAGAACACTTCCCTACTTCCCTAGAGCCCTAAGGGGAGCTGCTCAAATGCACCAGGGAAGCAGCCGCGAATCGGGCCAGACTCAAGACGACAGGTGTTTGAGGGCTGCATGCCCTCAGTTCAGAACGGGCCTCCGGAGAAAGTGTCAGCCGCAGAGGGAAGCCCAGCAGACCCGAGGCCACGAGACCCGGTTCCACAAGGAGAAGAGGCTTTCTGAGGTTTCAACGACAGGTGCGCATGCGTGACACCTCCAGAACCCAAGTTCTAGATTATGGAAGAACACCTAGCTCTGGAAAGGTAACAACCAGGAGACTGTGGGTGCACTTCCTAAAGGAGACCCCACAAGCCCGCACATTCCTCCAGGCAGCATCCCTACCATCTCGTTCCACCAAGGTGAAGGGCTCGCTGTCCCAGCCATCCTCCAGGGCTGCTGGCTGCACATCCAGGTGTCCATATATACACACCGTTTTCTTCTGCGGGTCGGAGCCCAGTTTGCCCAGTAAAATGGGAGGAAGCGGTATCTCCGAGCCATCGGGGAGCTGGGGGGAGAGGACAGCCTCTGCTGAAAGAGTGCGGTGTTCACAGCAGATGTCATTAACACTCCCCAAGCCTTCCTACCTGTCCTCATCAGTCCCCTCTATTGCAGAGTTCAAGATCATCTTGTTCAACTTAGTCACTGATTAACAAGGATGTACTTTTCCACAATCCAGAGCTCAGAGACTGAATTATGTTTACCAACTATAGGCAGTTTGGTAAATTTTTAAAGGCTGATTAAAAAAAAAACTTTTCTATAACACAACACATTATAAAAGCTGAGTCTAGGCTGCAACTTAGTTCATCATTTTCTAAAATAATGGGTAAAAACCACTGTGATCTTAAAGCGGAAGACATGTTTTGAAATTCTGCACTCAGATTACAATTATGCACAGAAAGGGCTGTGGACCAGGACATGATGGACTAAAATTCATAGGAAGCCACACTAACCAAGCAGTGGTAGCCGCACTCCTGAAGAAATCTGTCTTTCCAGTACACTCTACTCATAAATACCAACTTAAGCCCACAGCTGCCCACGGGTAGCCCTTGGCTCCATGCCACCCCACCCCACCCCAAGGCGGCTGCCCTCACCCGGGGTTGAGCTTGCCCTCGTGAGCACGACCAGTAGCCAAAGGGCAGAGAATCATTCCTGAAACCAAACCCATGACCCTGCTCACACGGGATGTGGCTCTCTAGTCACAGACAGCCCTTAGGTTGCCTCAGAGGAAAATGATTTCTAAATTCCAGGTTTTCTCTACATAAATATCTACTCCGGTGGCTCCTCTGAAATACTTCAGCATTTTCTAAGAAGCTGTTTGGGTCCACAGGTAAATTTGAACTGAAATTCATGCTGGAAATTGCAAATCTGTCTGGGTTTCCCCAACTACTCCAGACATCACAGAACCAGGTCCAGAGGAGGAACACAGCAAAGCACTTACAGAGGTGACAGGCTGTCCCCTCCCAGAGCACCTGCCTGGGCACGACTCTGTTACAAGGAGCCCCCACCGCTCCCTCTGCCCACGGTGCCACACGACCCCAGCCCCTGACCCTGTACCAGCACCCGGGGGCCATTTCGTCACTTTTTGGCTCAGGAGCCACGACTGTCCCACTTTCTGAGCCCCTCCATCTGGAGCGCAGGCCCTCAGGCCAGGCCTTCCACACCAACTGCCCAGTCCATCTTACTGCCCAGGGTAGCGGATGGGCTGTGGGCCAGCCTGACCTGACGGCTCCTACTCTGGCACTGGTGGGGAGGCCCCAAGAGCCCCAGATCAGCCTTTCCACGTCAGCACCAGCCCCCGAGCCTTGCCCACCACAACTCCCAACATCCTCTCTCCTCCACGAGCCTGCAGATCCCCCAGCTCTGAATGTACCTGTGATGACACCAACTCCTCCACCTGCACACCTGCCGTAACTCACCATCACTCCTGAAAGAGGGCCTCCTGTGCCGAACCCAAACTGATGGGAAGAGAAGACCAAGACAAAACTTCTCTAACAGTGATGAAAGCTGCCAACTCCTTCATAAAAACAGGTGTTACATAATTCAAATAGTGTGGTAGTCATTTTAGTTTTTCGTGGAGGGGCCTTTCTTAAGAACTTCATTTAACAGCTGTGTTAAAGAGAACAGACCCATCTATTTTAATGAAATAACACTTCAAAATTATTTGCCACCTACACTTTATTTTTTTTATAACATATTAGAAAAAAACGGAGCAGAAGCAAGTCAAGTGTGCTCCTAACAGAAAATAACAAAGAAACTTGGTTTATCCTCTCATAAGTGGGGAAAAGTGCCTGGAAGCTATAATGGATCTTAAGCAATCTTAAGCTAACTGTTAAATTTGTGGTCAGAAGAAATCTCACACAAACAACACTGGACTAGGAGTCAGACCTATTATTGGTTCCCTGGAAGATGCAGCTCACCTGGGCCTCTGGGCCCTTCCATCTATGAAAAGAGCAGAGAGGGCTGAACGTCCACACCTAAAACCCCAGGACTCTGATTTCAGCTGACCCAGAGATCATCAGACAAGAGAACCAAGATAAGCCGAGCCCAGTCACACCCTGAAACGTAGAAGTGTTAACGACTTTGAAAACACATGGCACAAACGTGTAGTTAACCAGAGACTGAAATCGTCTGAAACGAAAATAGTGGAATAATGTACCACAAAGTGAGACTGTTCTTCAAGTTAGAATCTGTCAGATTCCTGCACTGAAATGCAGCCGAGCCCTGAGCCCCACACATAAAGTAGCTCTTTTCTGGGAAAAGAAAAAGCTTTCTACTAGCTGGGCCACCAGAGACTCAGCGGGGTGAGTCAAGTCTTCATTAGTTTTACATCTAACGGGCAGATGTGACTTCCTGGTCTGAAAGCAGCTGATTTCTGGGAAGCAGTGTCTAACAACGGCCATCACGTTAACTAGTTCTCGAATAACCTCAACAGTTCCCCCTCCTGGAGAAAAATGAGGAATATCACAAAATCCCTGCCCAATCCAACTCAAGAAATCTCTCAGTTTAGCACCCAAATCAGGCCCTTCTGGTTTGTTCTAAAGACCAGCAGGTTGTCTGAAGCAAAGACGGTCCCATCCACCCCACAGCAGGATCCTGCGGGCAGGTCATGGCCCCTACCTTCTGGTTCCCGATGTCCACCAGCTCCACGGAGCCGCCCAGCTGCCTGAGGTCGGCGGCGGCCACGTCCATCATCCTCCGGACCTCCCCCCTCTTCTCGGGCCAGGCAGACACGCTCTGGATGGCCACCCAGTCCGCAAGCTTCTGCGTGTGGACAATCAGCAAAAGGGCTTCTGAACAGGTGGTCCCCGAGGAAGGAAGGCACTCACAGCTGAGCCCTTATCGGGCCCAAAAAGCTGCCTTGCTCCCTGCAGCCACTCCATTTGGAACACACTGACGAGACGCAGAAGAGATTCATCGCGTTTGCTTTTTGTTTTAAATCGATTTAAGAGAACCGTTTGTACAGACCCTGTGCTGGGAACTTCACAGCACGTCAGAAAAACCATTAACCATTAAGTGTGACGTGAATCCACAATGCACAAGTTCCATATGAACATTTGTATCTGAATCTAACAAAATGACAACTGAAAGCTACAGAAAATACCCAACACTTTCACAGTCCAAATCAGCTTATCTGTCATCATGGCAATGGTCAGGTTCTCTAAAATACAATTTTTAGGATGAGAACATGGAAGATTTTGTCTGAAATACGTCTACCAAAAATCATTTTAAAGCAGGATCCTTTAAGTTAACATCAAGAAACAGACAAATATATAACATTACTGAATCATTTAAAACATGCTAAATGTATAATAGCTCTTTATCTCTACCACAAGAATAAACAAAAATCTTGAATTAGCACTCTTATTTCTAGAAACATGTATTAAAGACTGTCAAAAGTCAAGAGTAACTTACGCTGTAATGAGCAGGGGGAGCAAAAGAATTTTAGACAATTTTTTTAGTTTAGTTTTTTTTTTTTTTGGTGGTGAGAACACTTAAGATATACTCTTAGCAATCTCAAAGCACAAATACAGTACTGTTACTACACTCATCATGAGGTACCCCGCATACCCAGAACTTATTCATCTTGTAATTGATGAAAGTTGTACCCTTTGGCCGACACCTCCCTGCTTCCCCAGCCCCAGACAACCGCCGCCCCACTCTCTGCTTCTGCGAGTTCAACTTTTTCAGGTTCCACGCATGAGGGAGATCATTCTGGTGCCTGTCTTTCTCCTTCAAGACGATACTGTTACTACTTGAGAACAGCGTAATTCACATAAGCTTCTTGAAAGTTCCTCAGAGTCCCATGGGACCAAAATGAACAGAGTAAATAGTTTCCTTACCTTAATGTAGCGGTCCTGATTCTCATCCACATACTTAAACACGGCAGTGAGCGCCGACATCTTTCAACCAGACTGCAGACCTTGGAGATTCTTGGAAGAAAGAACAGCCTGTTAGTCGTGCCTCCCCCGAGTGATCAGCAGGCCCGGAGGCACTCATTCAGGATCATAAACCACTCCACCCACGACCAGCACTGCAACACGGTCATCACGAGGACTCCAGGAAGCGACCTCAGCAGAAACGACAGTTCTAGGAAGTGGGGGGAGGCTCAGGCTGATCTCCATTCTCTTCTGAGAAGGAAAATGTGCACAGGATTGTGTGTCAAAACGGCAGGTAACTGAAAGACGGGTCTGAGCTGAAGACACTCTGGTGTAAATTAAGAGCAGGCACTTCCCAGTAGCACCGACACACTGGCATTTAAAATATTTTTTAAATGTAATTTTACTCTCTTAAAGAGCACAGAGAACTTCCCACTTACTGTTACATGGGAGGAAAACCCCTCCAAGGCTCCCGGTGAAAAACACCACATCCTGTCTCTGCGCCACAGATGGACAACGCAGCCAATGAGGGGAGTGTCTATTCAGTTTTAGGCCCATGCAGGACCATGACAGCCGAGGTCCAGAAATCACCAAGACAACGTGTGAAATGCCACTAGGGCCTGAGGAAGACAAGGGAACCCCAGCATCCCAGGCGCACTTTCTAACACCCATGAGACCCAGCACATCCTGCTGCACCTTACAAACACAGGGGAAAAGAAACCATCCGACTCACCACCTCTGAAAACTGAAATCAATATGAAGCAAAGATAATTCTGGAACTGGGCCTTTCAAGTGTGGCTCTCCCCACTTTGTCCGACTGACAGCCCAGCCTGTCAGGACTGAGACTTCTGCAGTGACTGCAGAGCTCGGCGACAGGGAGCACATGTCGCACCGTGGGGACAGGACGTGGTTCAAACTGCAGCTGCAGAGCCCCGAGGTCCCACTACATCTACCAAGTTCCCGACTGGGACAGCAGGTAAGGAACACCTGTGGACCGACATCCTGGAGTTAACCAGCACTTTGTCTCGGTACAGGATGCTAAAGTGATTTCTAAACAGATGAGTGACTTTACCCACTGTGACGGAGGCATGGCAGCCGTTCAGCTGACGGAGGCAGCGCCATGTCACTTCACTAAGGACGGGAAATCAAACTACTCGGTCCTCAGTGCCTCCTGCCGCCTCCTCCAGCGCCCACAACAGAGCACAAATATTTACACGCCTCCCAGGCAACGCGGACTGTCTCAGCTGCAGCTCTAACCTGAAAGTCCGAGCCCCTGGATGCTGAGGGGGCACTGCACGTAAGTCACATTTTCATGCACCTATCACCAAGCATGTAAACTGGAATGCTACGTACTTCCATAAAACTCTATTGAGCAGGACCATGTGCTACACCTGGTACTTTTCTTGAGTCTCTGGTCATTACATACGACAAATCCCAAGCTCTCTGTGATATAGTCTCATTAACGTTATGTTCTTTGCAGCCAAATTTAATTTGACTTTTGACTTCCAGCTAAAGTCAAAGATACATCTAAGTTGCACTTTTTACCAAAGGCGAGTACACAGACCAGACTGTTCAGCTCTGCATGCCAGCTCATCAGGGCTGGGGGAAAAAAATTCCTCCTCTGTGTCTGAACTGCTGACCCTGCCGGAGAGCTCACGCCACGTCCATTTTCTCCCTCCCACTCACAGTTCTGGGCCACTCCTGTGTCACCACCGCCAGTACCAAAGCCATTAAATGGGGCCACTTTTATATGCCCTGGAAAACCCCATTCATTAGGGTAAACGCCCTGAGTTGGCGTGAACAAAACCAAGTATTACCACCTAGCAATGACCGCCAGCCTCACTCCCCTCTTGGAATCCTTACATTCCAAGGGGAGTAAGCAACAACTTCCACACTGAAACTAGTGTGAGGGGAAGACGTGACGCTGGCAGCACCTGGAACCATCCAGCAATGCCTACAAGTGATCCTTTCAGTTCTCTGTGCCCTCGTCCTTGTCCCTCATTAATTCAGGACACATGGAGTAAACAGCCGAATCACGGCTTCAAAAGTGTGTGAAAACCATTAAAACGGGTGGGAAGCTCTCATGTGCCCAATCTAGACCGTGAATCCCAGGGACACAGTCCTACAGAACTACTTCTCGCCACCCCTGCCTGCAAACGTCTAGGACGACAGAGGCCTGAACAAAACCTCCCCCAGGTCACTGCGTCAGCACAGGACCCGGGGCTGCCGGTGCGGGCGGGTCGGGGCGCTGCTGCGAGGCCCGGGGCCCCAGGGACCAAGCACCCCCCACTTGACGGATGAGGAAACCGCCGCCCGCCCGCAGCGGAGGGCTGC